TAATATTAATTCAAAACAAATAAAATATAAGACTGATTTTAATATAAAATAAAAAACTTACCGGCCATAAAGGTTGTTGTAAACCAATATCTAAATAAGATTGCCATAATTGTCGATCCATTTCTAAACAATATTGTTGATCTAATAGTTGAAGTCGTCCATTGATAAATTGTTTTTCATCTTTTTTCTTTAATGAATAATTTAAAGCTTTATTTAATATTTGATAGAGTATCGATGATGACCGTGTTAAATACATTGGTTGTCTAAATATATACAAAAAATAAATAAATATGATGGGTAATTATAATTTTGAAAATATACAAATACCGATAATTTAGATGTTTATTTGTATCATTGTTATTTCTATTGATTATTGAATTATTATCCATTATTTCTGATATATTCTTCATTTTTTTGGATGTTGATTGTGCAATAGATATTGAACTCGTTGTTTTTGGTATTGCCAGATCTATTGCTGATGATAATTGTTGTGAAGATATATCTCGTTTACGTTTAGTAAGATTTGTTGTTATTATTGGTTGTGATTGATAATTTTGTCTTGATGCTAATAATTCCTTGTTTAATTTTGTTGATTCTATATTTGTCGTAGGTTCTTTATTTTTCCTCTGAAAACGATTTCTTTTCTCAATTAATTTTTTGATTTTTGCTGGTTTCATTTTTTCAGCACGACATTTTCTTCGAAAACGTTGATCTCTTCGATTTCCATGACATTTTTTCCGTGGTGCTTGTTGATTTAAATTTAAAACATTATCTTGTCTATCCATATTGTTAATATTGACTATTGACAGATTAATCTGTATGTCGAATAAAAATTATTTAAATTATCTGAAAGAAATGGAAAACAATATTAAGAATTGAAAATGAAAACACTATTTTGAATGAAACACAAAAAAACAGATTAGGATTTCAAAAGAATTGATTCAGACTTGAATTTATAAGTAGATTTAATACGTTCACTAATTTTATTACAACGTTCATTAATAAGTTGTACGAATGTTGAAGATAACTTTTCATTATTATTCAATGTATGTTGAGATGCATCCATTTTCTTTAAGTTAAGTTCATGTTTCTTTTTATATTCTTCTCGTTGATCTTCAGCTGATTTCAGATACATATTAAATAAAGTAATTCTCGATTGTATAGCAACTTCTTTGAATTGTTTCTTTAATGCTTCTTGGACAGTTAAACTTTGAATAGAATCAATTAAAGGATGATGAGATATTGTTGAGCATTCAAATGATTGACTTGGTAAATTGTAATAGGCAATTTTTTGTTTTAACAATTCATATTCTTGTTCTGATGTTTCTTGTTCATATTGACTTTGACAAATTTGTATCATTAGTTGTTTCTAAAATATTATAGATTAAATTCAAAGAAGATTTATTTGTGTATTTTTCAAAAGAAGAAAAAAACATACTTGATATTCATTTGGTTTATGTTGAAAGTATTCTAATTCCAATGCTCGAATATGATAATCATAATGAATCAGTTCAACTTGATGTTCAATTTTTTTACTTAATGAAGAATTAAGATTTGGCTCAATATATGTCATAAGCCTTTCTTGAATTGATATTGTATAACCTTGAAAATTATTTGCTTTAATATTCAATTCTTGTTGATATTGCTTTAATTGACGTTGCAGTTCATTTAGTTGATTATTGACAAATTTTAAACAAATTTCATTTTCATTTGTTTTATCTTTCTTGTTTGATAATACAATGGTTTTTCTTTATTTTGGCCATATTGATAAAGTTGTCGGATAGGATAGCTTTTGTTTTGTTTCATATGGAATAATCAATTGTCCTGTACCAGATTTTAAATAAGTTTTCCATAAATATTGATAAGTTTGAATAACCATAATTTTATAAATTAAAATAGCTATTTTTCTTAATTCATCCATATTATTATTTAATTTTTCTGTTGTTGTTATTATCGACGATAATGTTTGATGCATAAGTTCTTTGAAAGATATATTTTGTTTTGTTAAATAATTTGGAATTATTTCTAGTTGATCTTTGATTTCTTTCATTATCTTGATAGGATTTTTTTCATGTGTTGCACTAGTTGATAATTGACTCATTTTTCTTGATAAATTTTGTTTTTCTATTTCCTAGAAATTATATAGATATATTAGAAATATAATTGATTTAAATTTATTTAAGACTTACATCCAATTTTTCATTGACGTTACTTTTCTCTTTAATATTCCATGGAAGATCAATTGGCATTTTATCAAAATTTTGCAAAGTTTCATCCTATAATAAAAATGGAAAATATTTGTTAAAAAAAAAGGACCATATGACAAAAAGATTTTATTATTACCTGTTCTTCTTCTTCTTGATTGTACGCATTAGCATTGTTTGTTGTCATCGTTAATAGAAAGACAAAGAGTTATATCTGAAACAAAAAAGAAATGAATTTAACAAGCAAATGAACATATGAATTATTTCAAGGATTTTGGGTGATAAGATACATTCGCTTAATATCTTAAATTCAACAAAATTCTATCGATTGGGATTCTAGGAGAACAAAAACGAATATTCGACATCAAAAAACATTAATTCAAAACAAATTACAACGAACGGAATATAATTTGTCGAAGCATCAATCTCAACTTTCATCCAAGTTCAACCTACAAAATGAAATATATGTGAAGAATTCGATCGACATCGTATCTAAAACGTTTGCCATTATTCTAAGAAATGATTTGAATCCTTTCCATGTACATTTTGAACAGAAGAAGCTCTTGTTACACTTTAATTTCCATGATGCATAT